CAATGTTCGGAACTTCTTCAGTACTCGCAGGAGACGACCATGTAAGGTTGGTAACAGCGGACGGCGTCCGACGGCAAGCTCTCCCAAGTGTGGAGTGCTAATTGTTAGTCGACGCCCAAGAAAGGATCCGCTGGCACTGACTAGTTTTGCTGAGGTTACAATTTGATTTATTAATTTATATTAGGGAAAAAAGCACTATTTTTTATTTTTATGTTATATGATATCCGAACCATCCCATAATTATAGTATTACCTCCTCTGATTTTTAATATAAAAGAGATAATTTAATTTTTAATTTGGTCTCTCTAATCTATTTTGTCTCCCATATGTATTCAGTTTTTTAAAAATAGTCCTTATGATAGTTACACATATTAAAGATTTCATCAAGTAGTAGTTTTAGCTAATATATATTATTAGTAAAGATATTTTCGGAAAGGTAATACCTAATTATTAACTGAAGAAACTTCATTATTCTACTCAAATTAGTCAACTAACTCTAATCCTCTGGTCTTTAATATCAAGAGCTAGTTGACTAATTTTAGTAGATTAAGAAAATTAGTTAAGTTAGTTATAAGTATTGTCTTTTCTAAAATATCCTTACTAATCAAGTGTATTGGTTAGAATTATCATTATTATAAAGACTACCTTAAAAAAATAGATGAATACAAGAGACAAAATAGATTAGCGTATTATATTTAAAACCAAAATAAAAGTCAAAGCTTTCTTATATTAAGAAATAGAGGTAATATTAAGTACCAGAGGTAGTATTTTGCAAAGATCTCAATCCACTCTTGGTTTCTTTCATTAATTTTTTCCTTTAATAACTAATACCTTTTGACTAGTTTTTCTCATTCCATTTTTCTATATAGTATCACTATCATATAATAATTTTTTCTCTCCTATTTAAATGATTAGATAAAGAGTAATTTTATGTTAAGTCACACTTTTTTCCCATTATTATTACAAGTAATAGATTTAACCAGCTCTGTTAATATATGTGAATTGGCTAGGTAGTTATAGATATCATAAAATTTCTCTTTCATAGTTATTTGGATATAAAATTTTAATAAGAGGCCAAAATGAACAAGCTCAATTAATGAACTAGACAAATAAGAACATGACCATTGTTTTTGGCCACAAAAGAACATGGTCTTATATCTTGGCTCAAGTAATTCTCCTATAAGCATCTTCTATTAGTGACCAATTGGCTTATAAGTTAATTAACTAAATGATCAAAATCATTTTTAAGAGACAAGATTTTTCCAACGCATATATATATATATATATGACAGTCAGTCAATCATCAATAAATATATCCATTTTTAATTCGTAAAATGAATTAACTAATCACAAGTACTTGAATCAACTAGTAAAAGAATTGTTACAGTTTAATTAAAAGTCTCGTGTTTTAGTCTTTCATCTTGTCAGCATTAAAATAGGAGGGTTCAAGTGTGTCTCATATTCATATGAGTAAGAGACAAAATATTATGTGTGTGACTGTGTGTATACATGTATATTAAATTATTAATTTTATTAATTGTAATATTAAATGAAAATATGACTCATCAGACCCAGAAGTAACTTTTTTTTTTTTTACTAATGTATAGGAACGGGCATATTAGTTTTTTTGCATAGATAAAGAGAAGATTTGAGTGACTGACTTTTTAGCAAAATTCTCTTATTTTTTGACTGATAATTTTTGCGTACTTGATTACCCTCCATCAATATGTCTTGAAGTGGATTTTGACAATATCTGAAAGTGGGTTTTGAGGAAGGATTCCAATTTATTATGATGTGACGGATATTATTCCCTAATGAAATACAGTCTTTTTATTCCCACAAAAAAAAAAAAAGCAAAAGTTACCTGAGCTTCAGACTCCAAGGACCTGTTTGGCATGCTTGGTACTAAAAAATGGAGGGAAAAGAAGGTAAAAAAAATTTAATAAATTCATTTTTAAAAAATTAAAAAATAAGGTTATAAAATTTTGATTAAAAAAATAAAAAAAGTAATTAAAATTAATAAAAAAATTTAATCACATTTTTTAAGTTTTTGAAACGAGCTCATTTAATGTTTTTTCCCTGTCCTTCCCTCACAGCAAACAGAGCCTAATATCCGTTTGGCATGCCGGGTTTAGGTTCTCTCAGCGGCCATTTTCTCATTATCCCTCAGAAGCTCTAAATCATATCCGTCCAATTAATCTAAGGGATCACAAAAAGACACATCATCTAGCTTTTAAAATTTTATCTCCACCGTCCAATATATTATAATCGTAGCCGTCCGTTCAAATCCCGTTTTTGCCAAACCCCGACGATCTGTTGTCTTGCACGCACGACATTCCGTTCTCCGTCACAATCCTCTCCGGCTTCATGTTCTCCATTTCCCACTTCGTCACTTGAAGCACGGCATCTCTTACCCTTCCATTCACCTCCTCAGATCAAGTTCTAGTTTAGCATGTGAAGCAGTTGCGGGCATTTTGCGATCCCTAACTTCAGTCAATCTATACAGGAATTCGGTCAGAGAGCGGAGCAATAGAAGAGACAAATAGACTACTGCGGCAGTCTTCCTCGGCTCCTAAGGTATAGGAATAGGTATATGACCACTTGCATTTATCCATATTTCTTGCTGTAGATTATTGAGGAATATGTGGACGTCATTTCCATAGGTAAAGGAGCAGAGTATGAGTGCATTGTGAAATTTACCTGTGGATGAGAAGTCCGCATTAAACTTGATTGCTAAGAGTGATCTCCTGCCATTAAGTACCTTGAAGACGAGGATGTAAAAGTGAAGAAGCTGCGAGAGGCATGTTGGCAAATTTAGCTTTGAGCCACAACATTTTGGTTGAAGCAGGGTCGTATAAAATTGGCGAGACTTCCCTATGTAAACTTAGGGAGGGGTGAATGAAACAATGGTTATGGGTTTTGTGGTGTAAGACTGTTATTCTTCACATATATGTATATAGGACCATGTTGATCATTTGGAATTGGTTCTCTCCTCTCGTCATATCTATATACAACTAGAAATTTTTCTCCGTGCGACGCAAAGATTAGTATATTTGCTTAAATTTAAAATTGGACAATATTTATATTAAGTTTTTTATATTCATTATGTTGAACTTTCTAATCACATATGACTATGTGTCCTATTTCTTAAATATTAATATTTAATAACATTTAATTTTAAACCCACATAAAATGAAATCTCATTTAATAATGATGGTCCCCAATTAATTTAATATATTCAAATTCAAAATTAATTACTAATTTTTTCATTTGAGCCTATAATTGAAATCCCATTTACTAATGATGCTTCCCATTTAACTTAATATATTAAAATTTCAATCAAGATAATATTTAAATATCATTAATTGAATTTTTTTGATCTCATAATATCATTAAAATCTCATAATTTGGGATGATGCAGTGACTTAGATAAATCTTATTTAAGATGCATACATTAATAGCAAGTGATTATTCCCCCCCCCCTCTTTTTTACATGGTTGATACTTTAAGTTTACATCAAATTTCATTTTAATTTTTTAAGTTTTTAAAGTGTACTTTTAGTTTCTTAATTTTAACATCTTAAATTTGAGAATAAACTAAAATTTGACAGAGATTTAAAGGACTAAGCATATATGTTATACTTTTTTTTTATTAAATCTATATGTAACCAGGATAAATTTAGTAATTTAGTGAAAAGATTGGTGTTATTACCTGTGTCTTGAGCTTGGAAAGATTGATCAACTGTGTAAATAAAATCAATGGGAACAGAAATTTTTGTCAATTAACTGCTAGTCTTAGTGCTACTTGTACGATATTTCCAAAACTTAATAACTATTTCAAAGTTGAGTAATAAATCACATCTAATATAAATGCATGCCCCAAACAATTTTAGTCATATTTAAAGAAAAGATTTTTTTTTTAATGGTTGAGTCTAACTAAAAAATTTTCAACATGCAAACAAATAAAACTGAGGAATTTCAAGTGAAATATTAAGAGCATAAAATATAGAATAATTTTTTAAAAAAAAATTATTGCCTTGTCATTGTCGAAAAATGATAGCTATCATTGTGTCTCCATTAATAGAGAGAAGTTATAAAACTAAGAGATAAGAAAAATTAATTAAAATCTTTCAACCCTACTTCATTTTCATAAAAAATCAAACTTATTAAATTTTCCACTCTCCCATTATCATTCAACCAGACAAAGTTAATGAATAAAAACATTTGGTTTTTGCTGTAAAAAAATAATGACGTTTCATGAAGTGAACAACTTAGTACAATCTATTTTATGCAAGCAGACTATACATGTTTTTAAAGTACAAGTTAGAGGATACTCTATGTATGGTAAATAATGAATAATCCCAAGGAAATTGTTTCGCAATAGAAAATTATTTCTCCACGTACTCATAAATAAGTTATGCAATGTACACTTGTCGAAAGTAACGAACGATTGAAAAGAAATATTAAGACTAATAACTACTAGAGTATTTTCTAAAGTTGTGAGGAAGAGCTCAATAAATCACACTTCAATATATATATCTTTGATGTCATACAATGTGAAGGAAAAATTACCATTATATCTCAAACGAGAAAAACAAGTATAAATAGATTTTTTAAAAAAAAAAAAAGTGTAAATGACCACAGTGCCAATTAACCACACTGATCAACTTGAAATGATTGACCCGTGGCCAATCAAACAAATATATTTTATTTTAATGTAGTTTACAATTTAAATATTATAACATTTTAACATTTACAAGTTGAGCTTAGTAAGGAAATTGTTTGTCATGCTAGTTATTATACTCACATCACTTGGATAGTAACACATAACAGGTGCAGTTATTCTGAAGCGAAAATAAGATTAACAATTTTTATGTTATTAAGTTATGAGGAAGCCCTCCGCACATGAATTACATATTAAAAAAACAGAAAAATTAATATCTCATAAAAACATAATATTAATATGTAATAAAAAAATAAATGAGACTGATAATTTTATGACCTGAAAAATTTAAATGATAATTAATATCATCACTAGTGCTTCGTAAAGCTAACAGCTAAGTCATGACCACGGACATAATTATTTGACCAGTATTCACTTTCGAAAACAAGAACATAAGGATGTTCTGGCGTCCTCCCCAAGTAGTTATAAACGACTCCGAAATAATGATGAGGTAAAGGGGATAGTGGGGAAGAGAGTTGTACTCCTAAGAGAGGCTGAATCCTCGTTTTGCAACCTTCATTAAGTGATTTGAGGAATATTGGAACTTGAGGGATGCTGCTACAACCTGCATTATTATTCCCAATACTATCACCCTCTTTTAATGTCAGTTGAATCAATAGTGACCAGCGAGGGATGGTGTTAGGAATAAGTAGTGTTGTTAATAATGTACCGTCCATTCTACTATCATCCTCATCGGCCTCTTCTTGTTCATCTTCCATTAATAATAATGTCATCTCTACTACTTGATCACCTTTACTACTTATTTCTCTTTCATTCTCACTAATCATTTCTCTATCATCCTCATCCTCTTCTTTATCATCTTTCACACCCCTTTCGCCTCTATCACCCCTTGCCCCCACACAAATGTCAAAGCCGACACCTTTGTTGTCACAATGATAAACATCATAGGTATGATGTTGGTTGAAATCATGCCCAAACTCAATTGGACCCTCTAACCATTCAACTTTCCTCACAAATGGAAGTAAAGTCGTCAAACTTTGTATTCCCATTCTCATGAATTCTGCCGTCTCTTTCAATGGCATTGTTACATGCTTAAATCCAACGCCACACATCATCTTGCCGCATACCATCACCTTCATTGTCACTTTATTGAATGTCAAATTGACAAGATCCAAATAATTGTGCATAATCACTAGATGAACTTCTCCCTTTCATACTGTCCCCGACATTTATCTGCATCGGCCCACAATCTTCTATAAATAAATAGACATTCTGTTTCGGGATAGTCGAAGAATGGATTTGGCCTAACTTCCCGCAACCATGAAGAATCATACTTTCAATCTTAGGGGTTTGAGACAAATCTGGGAGTGCCCTGAGATTTTTTGAATACTGTAGATTTATTCTCCTTAGATTTGGAAATTGCTGGGGGAAAAAAAAAGACAAAGCAGTAGTGTTAAATAAATTACATAACTACACACACGTACAATTTACTCAACAATTTTTCTCATGCCCATTACAAGAACAATTGGACTCCCCGTAGATAGTACAATTACTACTACCATCAATTTAAAGATAGTAGTAAAGCAAACATTTGCATTGTGAATTACTTTAGTCAATGTTTCTTAGAATCAGAACAACAAAAATTATGACATATGAGAAACTATACGTACCTGATCCCCAAGCTGTTGGATATTACTGTCAGGCAAATGAAGTTTAATGAGATTTTCAGCACAAAATTGTAATGGCACAGATGGTAGTGGATATTCTGCCCAACTAAGAAACCTTAATTCTTTAGAAAGATAATCCAACGGTTCGCAAATATTCAACTTTGAAGGCTTCCCCCAATCTGACTTGTAAACTTGAAGGGACATTAAATAATGCATCCTTCGAAAATTACTAGCCGTCAATGTGATGCTTTCTATCTTGCTTGCATCCAACGACATGCATCGAATTGCCTCAATCGCCTAGTAATAATATCAAATCGAGAGAAACACAATTATCATTGCCAAAAAAAATCACCATAAATACCATAGAACAATTAAATATATCAACTTTTATACAAATTAACACCACTATATCCATTTTATTCAAAATTCCTTACAATTCATGTTTTCCACGTAATATATGAATTTCTCAACAATCATAAATACGCAGACACACTGATGCGTATACCTACATGCATGTGCACATGTTTATAATATAACTACAAAAGGAAAAAATTATTTTTTTATTTTCCCGTTGTACTTCAAATAACAGTAAATTATGCTCACACACGTATGCATATATCACTTGATGAAAATTTTTTGTACACTAATTTTATCTTCTAAAACAACGCATCACGAAAGACCCAGCTAATTTTAAATTATAATTCTTCTGAATATTACTAATTATTATTGCAATCCTGTTTATCTTCTTCACGTCTAATGATGAGCATTGAATTGCCTCAGCCGCCTACTGATGAAATTATGGGAAAAATTCGGTAATATGTAACAGGTGATCAAATAATAAATAGAACAATTAAATATATTTCTTTTAGAAATTTCTTTTTTTTTTAATAACTTCTTTTAGGAATTTCTAAATGAATATACCTTTGTGCACTTTATTCAAACAACTCATTTTATCTTACAATAAATAAATTGGAACAAACAAATGCACGCAGGCTCGCAAGGACAACCATACGAACATGCTTAAATTCTTAAAACTAGTGCATATAAAACCGCCCGGTATATATAAAATTCTTTAAACAAAAATTATGTTTAAATTTCATAATTTGTACTTTTTTGCAATATTACTCAATGTTTATCAAGAAAACGCGTGAGCATGCATGTGCGGTGTGTAAGTATACACGCAATCACTTTCATACAACATCAATTTTTGCTACTGCTATCAATTAATATAAAAAATGTCAATTTTCGTGGATATTTTTATAATTTATCAAGGATCGTTCACGCTCTGAATTTAAAAATACGTCTTACATCATCCTAATCATATTCCATCTCAGAACTAATAGAAAGTTTAAAAGTTTAAGCTTAAAATTACACCTAATATATTCAGGACCAAATTCAATAATATATTTTTATGACCAAATTCAATAGAACACATAGCGTAGTGAATATATTTAAGATAAGACCCAATATACTTTGAAAAGTTTTTTTTTAATTTTTAATTATAAAAATAAAATTTTAAGTTTAAAAAATCAGACCTAATAAAAAGACTTTGCTTTGCTCCAACGAATTCGAGTCAAAGAAAGAAGTTTTTTTTTTAAAAAAAAAAAAGTCTATTTGGGCAGATATTGAAACTTATTGAAAAATTTAATGCATAAACAAATAACTTTAAGAAAATACATCACAAGGAAAAGAAATATTAACTATTAAGAAAATCAAGAATATAACTAAAACGTAAAGTATTACCTGGTCATTGTGGAAAAAGTGATAAATGCCCTCATGCCTCCATAGTCGAACATGTGTTTTACGACCAGAGAATAATTGTTGGCTTGAAATTTCAAGGCCCATTTCCCTCAGAAGATCATGCATCTCAATGAAATCATTATGATCATTAAATGAAACGAGGGACTTTTCTCTTAGAACACTTATCTCAATATACATAGAAGAACAATATAATTGTCTCAATAGGTTCAAAGAAATATGAACTCCTTGCTTGATTAAGAATGCCAGGTCAAGAAACACATTTTGCTGTTTGTCATCAAGTCCATCGAAACTCAACTTCAGAACATCAACAATGTCCTTGGGTGGAGCTTGACTTAGTTTTTCCAAAGCACTTTCCCACTCTTCTTTTTGTCTGCCATAAAGGAAGCAACCCAGCACTACTAGGGCTAATGGGTTTCCGTGACAATATTTCACTACTGATTTTGATAACTCCATGTAACCCTTAGATGGCTCATCTCGCTTGAATGCTTTCAAATTGAAGAGATGAAAAGCATCTTCAAAATTCAAATCCAGAACATGATATGCTGAAAATGTCGTAAAAGCATTCTTCAGCACTTGCATGTCCCTTGATGTGATAATAATTCTACTTCCTTCTCCAAACCAATCAAGTACCTTGGTTAAATCTGCCACTACTGTTGAATTGTCCACATCATCAAGTATAAGAAGAAATTTTTTTCTCTGAAGCCTATTTTTCATAAAAGTGGTTTTTATGTCATAGATGCTAATATCCTCATCTTTTAATAATTCTCTGAGGCAATTCTTCTGTAGCTCATCCAAACTAGTTCTTTTTAATTGCTCTTTGACATTTTCAATAAAGGAGAAAGCATCAAATTGAGCTTTCAACTCCTGAAGTATAGCTTTAGCAAGTGTGGTCTTACCAGCACCACCCATACCCCATATTCCCACAATGCGGGCCTCAATTAGAAGCCTCTGAATGTTTCTAACATGTCGAGCAATACCAATGAGTCCTTCAAGATGAGATGATGACACATAGTTCAACTTCCTCAAAATATCCTTGACAATCTCTTCAATAAGTTTGAATTCAGGTCTAGCATAAATGTCAATCGAAAGAAAACGCATAAATCCCCAAAACCAACAAATAAAAACAACAACAATTTGCTAGAATTCTAAAAATTAATTGAATAAATCCCCAATACCAACAACAAAAGGAACATTTTTGAAGCTACCTGGTACTGTGGGAATCCCATCCAGAGAGATTTGTAGATTGGATTAAAGCATTTCTCCACTTGTGCAATTCTTTTGGGTTGTCTTTAAATCTTTGCTTCAATACATCAAATCCTTTTCCAAAATTCCCATTTTGTTTGCGTATGCTTGAAGGATCTATGTTATAGAAAACAGGTATCACAACCCTTCCAAATTTACGCTTGCATTCTAATATGTGAACAAGCTCATCTAGACACCAAGTTGAAGAAGCATAATTCTTAGAGAAAATAATCACAGATATTTCTGATTCCTCTATTGTTCTTAGAAGAATCGGTGAGATTGATTCTCCTTTTCGAAGTTTGTGATCCATAAAAGTATGGATGCTTGCATCTCGAAGTCCTTTGTAAAGATAACTTGCAAAATTGTGGCGAGCGTCTTCTCCTCTAAAACTAAGGAACACATCATACTTGGTAGTAGGAGGAGAAACCGTTTGAGTTAAAATAATATCGTCTTCAGAGCTACAGGAAGAAACAAATAGTGAACAGATATTGCGTTATGTGTAGGAGCAAATCAAACAATAAAATAAAGAGTGCGAGGTTATTTAGAAGAAGCTAGCTACCTAGCAGCAATAGCAACAGGTTGGTTACCATTACGCGAACGAGAGATGAATTTGATGGCTTTGGAAATTGATACTCCCAATAGGATCAATAAAGCTTTTTGGAGCATTGAAGCAATGGTTGTGATAGCAGTTTCTAGCTTTAGCCTTCAGAAAGGAAGATAGCTACGGACGAGATTATCAGCACTAGAAGAAAGAAGAAATTAACAAATTTTTTTGCAATATTTGGCCCGTGAGAAGAAAACACCAAAAGTTTTAGGGAAATGATTGCAAAACAGTATATGTTAATAGGATGAAACAAGTGGAAGAGAAAAAGAAAAGAATTAATGGACAGCATTAACCTGGTGGATGTCAGCTTAAGTAGCTCACAAGGTCTAAAACATGTCAGTTTTGAACTTAATTTGTAGACGTCCAAGTGCTTCAAACAAATTTAACGAATAATTAATAATTGAATATAATGAAGTTTTCTAGGATTAACACAGTCACTAGGTAGTCACTAGGGAAAGAACTGGTAAAAGTGGAGATGGGTGGGATCAAGCAAGTGGATTATATAAAAAAGAGAATATGCCCTGTTGGTTTATAGCGATGCCTTTTTTAAGCATAACAAGGAAATGGGGAGTGATTATGATGAAAGAAAGAACAGGCACTTTGATTTTAATTTTATAATATAATAAATAAATCAACAGTTTACTTCATTTAAAAAATTGAATAAAATAATTGAAGACTTTGGTCGTTAGATCCACAACTGTAAAATAGTTGGGGAGGAGAATCAATCAACAGCTAGCACTAGGAAAAAAAAAGAGAAAATCTTTTACAGAATTTTTTTGCGAAAATTCCTCGCCCGGGGGGGATGCAGGGAAAACAGTAGAAGGATAATGGATCTATGCGATAGAGCGAGTAAAAGAGAAGAAATGAACCTGGACAGATGTGGAGGGAAGCGAAAGAAATAGCTCTCACAAAATGGAAGCTTCAGAACTCGCTAACTTTGCTTTCTGTTGAAACAAGCTGTTCAGTTCAGATTCAAAGATCACCACATGCCTCAGTCACATGTATTTGTCTCCGTGTTTCAAAGGCTCTGATTCCAGTTTTCGGGAAGCTCGCGTGTTGATGGTTTGGCTCTTGATTAACATGATAAAAAGATCAAACAAAACTATTTAGCAAGTGGGAACAAGTTACAGAACGATCAATATATAGCAACTTGATGGAGAGTAACGATTGATGCTAAAATGAAGAGCATATATTTATGGATGGAATAATAGTGCGAAAGAAAGACTCCATCATGGGGCCAAGTCAACTTATCAGTCAAGTCCACACAACAACTTTTTTTTTTTTTACCAACAACTTGATTTATTTTAAAAGAAGCAGAGCTACAGTGCGGAAAAGTACACGCGTTGATGGCGTATTAGCCAGGCTGTGTGTTAATGGTTTTTTTTCTTTGAAAAGAAGTTGGACTGAATAAATTCATGTGTATTGATATTTTTTGTTTTGTTTTCTGCTGGGGGGAAAAAAACAAAAATGTAAAAATTGCAGGAAAATATTGGTAAAACTGGCGATTGGTGGGATTAAGCAAATGGATCATGAGAAAAGAGAATACGCCCTACTGGTTGCCTTTTTCAGGCATAACAATGAAATGGGGAGTGATTAAGGTGAACAAAAGAAGCACTTCACTTTTTCAAATAAAATAAATAAATCAGTCGTTTACTTCATTAAGAAAAATATGAATAAATAAATGAAGAGCTTAATCAATAGATCAAGTGCGTCCATATCTTTGAAGGTTTTAGGACTTTGTTTTTTCAGAAGTTGAAGTGTAAAAGAAATTCAAATGTTTAAGTTTTATTAGATGTATGACAGTAAGGGAGCTAAGGAGGAGATTGAATCAGTAGCACTAGGAAAAGAAATAGAATAACAGATCTTTTGCAGGCAGAAGAATAGAAGGATGATGGATTCATGGGACAGAGCAATTAAAAGAGAAGAAAGAACCTGAATGTGAAGGGAAACGCCAAAGAAATAGTTCATAAGCAAAGCTCGGTCTCAAAAATGGCAGCTTTCAGAATTTGCAGATCAGAATTGCTTTCTCTTCAAACAAATAGTTCAAATACAGAGATCAACAAATGCCTCGATTCCTACCATATTTATGTCTTGCTTCAGCCTTCCTAGTCAACCAGTCAGGTCATCCCGCGTTTGTCACTTTTTTCTCTCCCCTTCTTTTTCCCTCCTTTCCTTTTCTCTTCTTAAATATTTCCAAAGTGGGACGAAATCGGGACGAAGTTGCGGGACAACCAATGTCTGTTTGGCAGAGCTTCTAATGGGTCATAAGTAGCTTATTTTGAGGAGAAGTCCGACTCAAAAATTTGTGCTTGTTTGGGACAGCTTGTGGAATACCGTATTTGAGAGCCAAAAGGAATAAAAACATATGATTGAAATTAAGCCGAGAGAGGGAGCTTTTTTGAAGTAGCTTATAAACTGTTGAGATAATAGGTTTGTCTAGATTGGCAGTAGAAAAAATAGCTTATTTTCAATCTGACTTTTAAAAAAAATAAGATTGAGTAAAGATTAAATTGAGTAAGGTGAATTGCGTTTGGAATGGAGTTTTAAAAAATTAGTTTGTAAAAATTAGATTGGGTAAAAGATTGTTTGAATTATGATTGAATAAAAGTAAATTTATTTGTAAAATTATCAAAATAGATATGATTTTTAATAAATAATAAAACATTATAAAAAAAATAAATTTACATAGTACAATAAATTTAAATTAATTTAATATGACAAAGTAAAATTTAACGGTGGAAGGCTGAGTCGACAAGTCAAGTCATGCCGCGTTTGTCACTTCTGGGGATTGCGGTGTTGCTTCCTCTAAACTTTTCTTATTTATTTCATCTTTTTTTTATCAACAACAACTTTATTTATTTTAAAACTAGTTATAGGGAATAAAAAGGATGCGTGTTAAAGTTGTTTTAATGGTTCTGGTGCTTTAATTTCTTTATTATTTCTTCTACAAAGAAATTTCCAAGCTTTTACTCTCGTGGCCGACATAGCGTTACATTCTTTATGCGCACCGCATTGTTTGACAATTATACAAATACATATTTTGGAGGCTCTAATATCCCACCTCCTTCCAATTTTTATTGTAATACTCCAACCTTCTTATTCTCTGTCCCGTGTTAAATGTAAGGACCACATATCTACTTTTAATTTTAAGAGATTAAAAAAAATTAGTTCAGATAATTATTTGCGAAAAATATTCTTAATATATGCGATCAATATGTAAATTTTTCTAAAATAGCTTTTATATAATTGTAGTAATTTGGTATTCCATACCTTAGAATGAGAACATGTGGAATGCTTATATTGTTTCTCTCATTTTTGCTCTGTTTTAGCATACTAATAGAGTTATAATTCTTCTGTTGCAAACTACTATTGCCATATAACACCCCAAAAAACAAAAAGAAAAAAAAAACTGCGCACACAAAAATCACTTCAAAAGAAAGAAGTAGAGATAGAATTGTAGTAAGTTTTCTTTTTTCTTTTTTCTTTTTTTTGTGTGTGTAAAGAAGTTAAAAGGATTTACACAAAACACAGGGAGCATTATTTGCCTCTTCTTTGAGAGCTCTCGGTGCATTGGGGATGACTGTTCGGTTTGGTGCTTTAATGGTGTTCTTTGAAAATGTATCTTTTTGGCAAAAAATTCTTCTTTTGTCGCATATATATGAGCTTTGATATGGACAAGAAACAGAACAAACCACACTCACTAACGATTTTGCTAATTGAGTTAAAACAGAACCTTTGTGTTTTTCTCCGTGTTGAATCGTGCAGACAAAAGCAAGTCATTTTGGTATGTACTATGTGATATTTTTAAAGGAAGCCATTCAAGTGTTTCGATCATGGATTTTTAGTCTTTATACTCTTAATGCTTGGCATTTTGTTGTCGATTATTATTTTAATATCCTTTTTACTTGTTTTGTTTGCTTGTGTTTAGCAACGTAGAGCAATATTTATTTCCAACATGACAGTTATGAATTTGAATTTGTTTAGGAAACTCATATTGATGGCGATCCCGGACTTCTAGATGACTCTGAATTTTATCAGCAATTACCAAAAGAGTTTTTTCAGACAATTGATCATACATCATCCGATAAGCAATAATTGTCTTGTTTTTGGCCGAACAGGCATTTTTTATATATTGTATTCATATTTTTACTTCTGATGATGTTGTTGAAATATTAGACTGGTCAGGACATCCTCTTTTGTTTAACTTATAATGTATCTTAGCAATTATGGGCAAATAACACTTGATATTTAGCGTGAAAGGTCTCCTAGAAAGATTGTAGAATTATTAGTGATTTATTATTTTTTCCATCTAAATAATTTTGATCAAATTTTATGGACCTAGAATTAGCACGAGTTGCTTTCCTAGAAATCACAGTATTAACCTCATGCCATGCAAGCGGAAGTCACGTTCTTTTTTTTTTTTTTTTTTTGCTATTTTGAATCATACAGAAAAAGCGCTTTATGCTTTGAAGAAGACGCAACCAAAGAAAAGGAAACTTGTCGATAGTCAGGCCTCAAAGAGTTACGAGATAAGTTTAGTTGATGAAGATGGCATTTCCTTATTTCGTTCCATTACTTTTTGTCACATGTACATACACATATATTGCTAAATTCTCTAGAATTGAAAATAGATTTTTGACTAATTTGGTGTTTATACTGTGTAATGTGGCATTGAAAGTATAATTTTCATGAAAAAGTTGTAAACTTCATGGCTCCTGAGTCCATAAATCTTTCATCTATAGTTCCTAAACTTTCTGGAGATTTGTTAGGATTAAAGTCACAGAGATCATCTGCTGGGACAACATAATCATGCTCTTGGAAAACAGATAATGACATCAAGCGTTGCATAGTAAATTGTCATAATATATTTGTACTCATTTACCCAACATTATATTGTTTATTGAGGAATTTTATTTTTCTCTTCAAAAGACAATAATTTTATGTAGTGATGAGGATTGGTAGTTTACAGCAAATTTCAGTTTCAAATCTTCTCTGTTCTTGAGTCCACAAAAAAAAAATCTTCTCTGTTCTTAATGCATTTATCTTTCGTGGACAACATATATTTTCATGAGCAATCTGTCCAACTAAGGCATAGTTATCCATTATGTTCATACTGAATAGCAATTCCATTATGTGGGATGATGCAGTAACTTAAATAAATCTTATTTAAGATCCATACATTAATAGCAAGTGATTATTTTTCCCCTTTTTTTTTACATGCTTGGTACTTTAAGTTTACATCAAATTTCATTTTAATTTCATAAGTTTTTAAAGTGTGCTTTTAGTTTCTGAATTTTAATATCTTAAATTTAAGATTAAACTAAAATTTGATGCAGATTTAAAGGACTACATACATGTT